CCTACAGTCCTTGCTCCCAGGCACCCAGACTGAAGCTCTGGGCACACCACAAGAGCATAACTTGCCTCTGGCCCATGTCCCTGGGTTTTTCACCTGTGGAGTCAAGACACAACAGGGAGGAACCTGGAATATCAGAAGTGTTCTCATGCATCATTACAGAGATACAGCTGTGGGGACTACTTTATACCTCAAAGATCAGCCCTACAGTCCTTGCTCCCAGGCACCCAGACTGAAGCTCTGGGCACACCACAAGAGCATAACTTGCCTCTGGCCCATGTCCCTGGGTTTTTCACCTGTGGAGTCAAGACACAACAGGGAGGAACCTGGAATATCAGAAGTGTTCTCATGCATCATTACAGAGATACAGCTGTGGGGACTACTTTATACCTCAAAGATCAGCAGATGGCCAGGCCAATATTCTGCAACAGCAATATTTCTAGAAATCCTTCTTCTCACCATTAACTTTGTCTCCATTAGGTTAATGATGGGCCAGTTATTTATTTCTTCTCAATCACTGCTACACGCTGGTAATGGAGTGCTTGCAGAATGTGCAAAATAATAAAGGGAGTATCACCAGCATATACTCCCCGTATTATAGAGGCTCTGTATCTCCTCTGCAAAGACCTGCACTGATAGGTTACTGCCAAGCAGAACGTATCACTAACGCAAAAAAAAGCCACAAACAGCAGTCAAGGGCTTTAGGGCAATTCCTTTAGACACAACAGTCCCCTCAGGTGTGAATAGTGCTTCATAATTAGCAAATTCTCAAGAAAAGCATGCAATTTGGAAGTAGATCAACAACAAACAACCTGAGTACAGGAAATTAACACAATGGTTAACTTCAGGAAACAAGACACACTGATAAATAAGTAAGGAAAACCAAACACTATGCCTAAATCTGATCCAGACACAGACCCAGACTTAGTGAACGTACTGTGGACGTTCCTGAGCACTGAGAAATGATAACCAGTAATATCTGCTAAACAAAAATAAATAAGGGAGCATTTGTATTTTTAGCTCATCTACAAACGCATAGAACCTGCTCAGATACATCATTCTGTTTCAAACTCAAGCAGATGCAGTTAATTAAATCAGAAACTACAAACAGGAAATTATACACCTCTAAAAAACACATGGTACACCTGTTAATAATGAACCAATTGAAAAACAGCCCTAGCAAACAAATTCTGACTTGCTTCTCCACAAAGAGCATTTTAGGAAAGAAGGAAGGTAATTCAGTCTTTGGAGGATGTCATTAAAATGAACTGATAAGACGGGTTGTTTATCTGAGAATAAGTATTTGAGATTAAGATGGCCTCCAGTCAAAAAAATAAATACAAGCCTGTACTATTCCGTATTGTGTCTGTGTTCTGTGGTCTATGATTCCTTAGGGACATTGCTGTATTTTAAATTTAAAAGCCTACATTAGAAGAGCAGAAAAATTGAGTGGCAGAGGACTTAAAATTAAGAAAGGTGTGACATGAATCTCCCCCACTATTTGTGTATATAATGACACTGATTTTCGAGTGGGCTAACACTGCCCTACCTGCCCTGAGGGGGAAACGCAGCAGCTTTCAACACAACCTCTTGAAGTCAAAAGCAAAAAAACCAGCGTGAGGCGGGTTTGTGGGGCAGATGGAGGGAGAACACGGGCCCTGCCGCGAGGCCCAGGGCAGGAGGATGCCCGCGGATGGATGCCCTTGGGCAACCGCCTCCCTCCACCCCCGTGCTGAACCAAGAGCCTTCAGCGCTGGTGTAACAGTCTGCAATAACCTTCTGGAGCTGGGAGGATGTTGACAACAACCGTTTTGGCTCAATAGCTGTTTTTTGATAACATGGGGAACTGCTTGTTTCTGTCAGAATAGTGGAGACACAGCGGTTTCCTTTTTCCTCAAGATCCCCTGCTATTTTCCTGCCACTGCCCCAAACGTTCGCTGAAGCACCCAGCACAAACATTTTTGTTGGCATTCTTTCCTTCAGGTGCCTAATTGAATAAAGAAATGTTTCCTAAAGCGCCAAAAAACAACCCCACAAATATTCTCAACCTTCTCAGATGCCTCATCCCCTGACTTATTACTGTTATTTTCAGATTTATCCGATACCTTGTCAATACTCTAGGAAAATTCAGTCATTTTATCTGTTACTATTTTGCTACCCACATTTATTAGCATAACCACATGTTGCAGATGCTGAGCTCCTTCGAGTTTCACTGTAAACCTGCTGACTTTTTCCCTCTTTACAAAATAAAATCATTACCTTCACCTAGAGACCACTTATGATTTCCCTGTGCAGTTCTCTTCAGAACAGTTATTTCTACCAAAGATAGGAGTTTCCACCGGGAAAATGAAATGACTCCTTATTAGCATGAGATGCTGCATATGCTTTTTGGCTAAAGTACCTTCAAGCAAGTATTTTTTGTAGTGAAAGCATACAGGGCTTCCTTTATTAATAGCCACCTATTAAAAATGTATTGACATTAAAGTCACTACTAAGTTGCTACAGAAAAACTACTCAAAGATTTGCTACCTACAAAGTAGCACTCACTTTATTACAGTTTTGCTTAAAGTGATTTTCTTTTCTTTTTGCTTTCCTGTTCAGTGAACTTGAGACAATCATTTTTAGAGAAGTGCAACGAAATGCATTAAACACAGGCCCTTCCTAGCTGGTGTTCTCCAGTTACAGAGCAAATAGTGCAGAACAGTAGTAGAGCTGAGCAAAACCCAAGCCCTCCAGGAATTCTCTCCCCCATTAATAATTGCTGAGAAATAAGAGAAATGCATTGCTCCCACACTATATCCCTTATTTAGCGATCAGTTTTGTTCCTGAGAGGATGCATAACTCACTAACAGTTTCACTACTGCTTTTAAAAATAAGATGTATAAATATTTTTGCAAATGCCTGTGTACCTCAAGTACCGTACATGCATATAATCCCTGAAAACTAGAAGTGGATTGTTAGCATTTTTATTTTAGGCTTTCATACAGATTCTACAGCAGCAATAAAAATCAGGCTTTTTCAGTTTGTCAAGTAGCTAGCTACCTTGACAATGGCAAATTTTGGGTTTAAAGCACTCAAACCAAATCTGAGTTCAAAACACATCTACTAAGAAGAATTCCCCCAATAAAAAAAAGGAATTTAAGACTTTGGGAACATATTTAACATAATTAAAACTGCCACTGCAGATAAGTTAGCCTACATTATGTATGGTTTAAGTACGGTTTTCAATTAACACCAGCATCTTTTAGCTTTGCATTCTTACAAAATTCTTCCCATTTATAAAAGCTGTCCATTCAAAAATGTGTAACTTTACTGTAATCACATATGCAATCTGGGGGAAAAAAAATGCATTAACCTTCAATTTATGAAGTATTTAGGAACTACAACCCTTCCATCGAAATCCAGCCTCCATCTTTAAATCATGGAATGTTGCATATGAAAAACGAAATTGCTTCAGTGAGCAATAGGAGCAGAAAGGTTAGCAAGTCTAGGATTCATGCAATAAAGATAGATTAATTTATATTTAATTCCCCCAAATGCAATTTAATTTTAAGTAGTTTGGCTAGCTACACACTCAATTTTTTGTTATTATATGAAAAGCTTCATTCCATCCATTCATTAAAAAAGGCAATGAAAACTTAGTTTTAATGGATAACAGGAGTAGCAACAACACATAATTAGATACTGAAACGGGATGCTTAACCACAGCGGGTTAAATTGATCCTCAAATATAATTTAACAGAAGCAAATAGAGTTACACCAAAGGTGGCTTTTAGACATGAGTAGCTTTAAACTAATCATTATATTTAGACAGGTTTCACCTAGAAAGCTGCGGCAGCGGCCTTGGGATTTTTAGCTGCCTCCAACTGAAGCAGCGCGCAAGTATCATCTATTATAATCAAGCAGGCATCTTCCTCAAAATCTAATTTCTGCTTTTTCAGGGTACAGTGAGCTTTTCATGTCTCATTTTTCATGGTATCTATGTTAGTACAATGCACAATTTGCAGAGAGTAAATGCCATAGCAAACAACAGTAATAACGGATGAGTCATTTCTATTACCTGCAGCCAGAGCGACGGCTATCGCCTGTTGATTTGCGGCACACAGGACCTGGACACCCAGCGCGAGCCGGGGGCAGGCGTGTCTCACCGCAGCACTGATGACTGTCATTGCTGCCGTCACCTCGGGCCCAGGGCACACCGTGTAAGGAACGTCATGCATGTTTTCTACCAGCAAGCCATCCTGTGGAGATGATTGTAAAGAAATACGATTGAACTGGGGAAAAAAGGAACTTAAAAAACATGGCTAGTTTACCGTTACGCTGTCTTGTATTACGAGACACACGAGTTTAAAGGTTTTCCTTCAAAGGAAGGATTATCTACAGTAAATTGTGTTGATGCATACAACCACTTACAAAAGTGCTTTCATCAACAGCACAGTATTTGCAGAGAAATCATGAAGAGAAATAAATGTGACTTTAATTATACATTCATCAATTAGGCTTCCTTTGATCCATCCTAAAATGTGATCTATAGGCGAATGAGTTAAATCTTATACCTCATTAAAAATAGTGTAGAGTCAAACTTCAATTATCCAAGCAAAATATAGGATACTGAGTACGTGTGGATAATGTAGGATTTAGAGATAATCAAGGCAATTCTCATTTCAATTAATGTCAGAAAATAAGTGTTATTTTGGATAAATACAGGAATTTTTTGTTTGACTATTCTTGTGCCTGTTTGCAGTGTGCCTAATACCAGCGTATTAAGGACTGGTATTTCTCCCATTCTGGATTCAGAATTACCTGAAGGAAGATACTGCTATTTATTATCTACCATACCTCCCACTCCACACAGACATACTCTCAGCGAACAATGTAGTGATAAAATACTCCGCTGATATAATTTGTGCAACTTACTGAAAGTCTTTGAACGTCATCTGGTACCTTGTACTTTTCTACTCATTGGATAGTATACATCAGAAAGTTTCCAACAACTGCATATCATATATAATTCTGTCAAGGACTAGTAACAAGAGTAGAATTATAGCCTTGAACCATATTTCAAGCCTCATGTTTTACATATGCAGTGAGAATGTTAAAAGAAGCCAGAAATTTCTCACCTGCTTCAACCTAAAAAATACAAAAAGTGTAATAGACAAACTCACTGTATATACAGAGAACAAACTCCACTCTCTCTGGACTTTTTTCACACATTTTAATGTTTTAAAATTAAGGGCTGTACAATTCAAAGAGATTCTGACTGAACCAGAATAGAAAGAAGAACACTTGAGGACAAAAATAATAATACAACTAGAGATTAAACAAAGAAGTTTGGTTAATTATAATGTAGAGAATCAGGAACAAGAAAAGAACTGTTTCCTTTTTTAAAAACTTTCATATGTAACGCTTCTTTAATCTTTGTTGCAGAGTAGAAGCCCATTTGGCAGTAAAAGGTAAGACAGTATATAAAATGCAGTCAGCATTTAATGGTTGCATTACAGGCTAAGGCACAGGCATCATAAATGAACACCTAACACGAAGGCTGGGGAAAACAGAACAGAAATAATCCGGTGGAACAATACGGTCAGTCCAAGCACACGACCCACGTACGTTCAGCGCACCAGCCCGTGCCAAACGGCTTACATCTGAGTACTTCATTACACAAAATACATGTGTATACACCTTAAAAACAAAAGGACATAACCTATTCATGGAAAAAATGACCTCGTATTATGAGCACCCAACATCAGACCTACACACTATCTGGTGCCATTCACCAGCACATGTAATTACAGAATTCCAGTCCAAGAAAACTTCAGGTAGGTGAAGAAAAACTAGGTATGACAACTAACCAAAACATCTGTCCTTGATTTAGTTTCTACATCCAATTTAACATATAATTTAACATCCACACTTCTCTACCTGTGATGGGAGGTACCATACGACAACGATGACAACCGGTCCTCAGAAAACCCATGGCATTTTCAGAAATGAAAAAAATGTCAAACTTGTAGTCAGTTTCTCTGGAATGAGGTCAGGAGTGTTCCCACACACCTGAGCTGACCAAATGGTCTTCTACCTCGGGCACAAATACTGAATCCTTTGTGGTACCAACAGAAAAAGAAATCCCTCAGCCTTTTGCCCTCTGTACACATGGATGCATTAAGTCAGCCTACGTGAGAATGCAAAATTGGTCAGTAGTAGTACGTGGCAAGAGGATTGATGTGAGACTGTATCTTAACAAAACAAACCAAACTCGAAGAATACACCAAACTCTCAAACCCAGGTAATTCCCTGAAGCCACAAAACCTGGAAGCCCTTGGTCCTGAGTTCAAGAACGCTCTACTTGGCAGATTTCACCAAAACCAGGATATCTGGGAAACTCCAAGCTTATCACAGGGCAAAGAGCTAGGATCTGCAAACCAGAAGACCCAGGCTTTCAAGCAGTCAAGAATCAACCACAATAGGCCACGCAGGAAGAACAGGGCTCCAGGTGCTCAGCTCCTGAAGAGCCGTGCCAGTAGCCAAAATAGCAGAACAGGCTGGCAGAATTCCACAGGAGCACCAAAGTGAAACTGAGCTTTCCATGAGTAGCAACTACTTTGACAGCTCAGGATTTGCATAAAGCAAATTATTCCATTAGTTACATTAATGAATGAATTCATTTTAAAATTAATTAAAAGCCCTAGCCATACTACTGTGCATAAAAAGTATCTGACTGAAGTCTGGTTCAAAATGCAGGCATATGGGAAGATTCCAGCATTTTTCTCTCCTGTCTTAAGCTTACTATATTCGCTTTTCAGCAGCTGCCTCTTCCTATGGCCTCAAGGTCCACAGTTACAGCGAATATTTTTGGTATTACTTAAATAATGTGTTGTTGTCCTTTTGGTACCATCCGATAGACGATGTTCTTTTGCATATTATGTTTTGTTTAATTAAAACAGAACAACATATGTTCTGCAATACAGAGAGCTGAATTACAGATGCATTAACTCAAAGCTTTCTTTCATATTTTGTATAAAAACGTAACACCACAGATTTCTGTGTTTACTGAATTGATATGTATATAAAACAGACTTCAGTACTAGCAGAGAGCTAATTAAAATGGTGGAAAGAAAACAGTTATGCTGAATTAAAGTTCCTGGAACTTCAGTTTATAGTTTAGAAGTCTATGGGAACAGCTACTCTATTATACCCTCCAAAGCAGAACTTACTTGGATAGTATGAGATGGAACTCTAGCAACTACCTTTTGTGTCTCTTTTCCATTGATTATTAAGATAATTTAAGTGTTGTTTATATATAATAGCCTTATTATAAGTAATTCTCAAACAACATCTTTCCTTTTTACTTTGAATGGCTTCTGAAGTGCTACATATGTGCAAAGTGCCTCTTGTGTCACAGCTAGCTACTCGAAAATAGGTCATTTAAATAGCTCTCTGATTATATAGAAAAATAATTTCCTTGGCTTTATTCCACTTATAAAAATGACCTCTTAAAACATTTCAGCAACACACACATCACAGCAGAAAAGCCTCAAAAAATAGTCACAACACTATAAACCACAACAGGTATAACAATCATACAAGCTTTAACTCAGCATCTACCTAATCTAACTTTTACCCAGGGCAACTTGAACCCCAGCGTTTCTGCTGACAGAAAGGTGTTACCTACAAAGCAACATTTATACTAATACAAACCTTTGCAAGCTTGGAATAACTACCCTTTCCTACAGGAGGAGAAGGGTTGGGGTTTTTTTGCATTATTATATAGGTTTAGGTGTGCACTAAGACAATTAGACCACAGTCATGTGTCCCTTACGAAGGAAATCAGGTGCCTTTGTAGAGCATTAATTTGCTGTGCCTTGGCACACCTTCCTATTGATTCCTTTAAAAACTCTACCTCCAGAACAAGAAATCACTACCTTAATACAGATAGGCAGGTATCTTATGTTCACCTGCATATACCATAGGAGGTAGTTGTGGGGAGGTTTGTCTGCCCTTTTGTTCTACTGTAATATAGCTAAGATTTGAAAGGGCAGCCTCAGTAGCCCAAGTGATACCTGCCTATGTGTTTCTATACAGAAATATTAGTTTAGTCTGTCTTAACTTTTATTAATCTCTAAGTCATTTGAATTCCAACTATTATCGTAGGTGTAAGGGTAATAGGTTTGAAAACTTTCATGTTTTAAAAGCATCAGTCTAAAACATGTACTAGCAACTACCCTTCCAGGTACAGAGACAACAGAAGGGTCAGGAGGATCAGAAGAGCAATGAATGCATCTCCAGAGACAGCACTGGTAAAAGATGCAAACCTAAAATTTTGTGTGGTAAGAAGCACCATAATATTTGCAACTCAATGTACTTTTATACTTTTGGGGTATTTTTTTAAGGAAACAGTTTTAGTTATGCATCTCTGGCTTTACTGTCAGCTACTCAAGTAGCTACAGCTAGATAACAGCAACTAGTAGGAAAGCGATCCATAGCAATGAAATCAGAGGGAAGTTGTGCTCTATTTTCTGGCTACAAAGTAAGCTTCACCCAGGCTGAATGGAACGAACAGGAGTTAACTTGAACATGTATTCTGCATTTCTCTTAAACAAAAGCAGATACAAATTGGAAGGATCATAATGCCTCATAGCTTGCTGTTTATAAAATCCTGTCTAGGGAATTTCATTGTTTAGCAACACCCAAGTACAAAGCATATACATTTTGAGCACAGATGGCTTCCTAACTGAGCACTCACTTGTTTTCATTACCATGCTCTAATATCACAAATCTTTCATATTTATTATGTTAAGCTGTTAATGTGCCAGACAAGTCACCTTTTTCTGAATATCCTAGGATTTACTTCCAAGTGCAGTGCATATTGAGTGAGCAAGACCATATACTTTATTTGTAAGTGTTAACACCAACTTGAGACAATATGTAAACGTCTAGAAGCAGCAAGATGGTGACATATCTTCATAAAGGCAGTATTTGAAATACTGTCAGTAGACACATACATGGAAAAAAACCCATTTAAGTTTCTAGCTCTTCTTCCACCAGAAAAACAGACAGCTTAACAGTTCAGAATACTGAGGGAGAAACCCAAATATACTCCCATTACAGAAATAGGATAGCTAGTTTGGGAGAGCAGTGATCTGTGCCAAAGCCAGGAAGCTCCTGAAGTATCTATCATGAAAATTTGCATTTCTCTTAAAGTACCAAGTAAAACTAAACAAGTGAATTGCAGAAGGTGTTTGGCAACCCCAGTGATATTTATGGAAGCTCTCCTGATTATCTCTGACCTTTATGGCATTAATGAAGGATTTGTTTGTCATATTGCTGTAACACTATTGTGTACAGGACCTTATAATGAAGATTGGTGTGGAATGTATACTGATGTCTTGTGGCTTCTACAGGAAATACACTAAGCATAACTTTAAGACCTGAATTTGCTCAAATGTGTAGAGAAATGACTGCATTCACCTCATCTATCTACGTGAGAGGTAGGTTTAAGAATAGATTCAAGTTCAGAGACTGCAATGCATTAGGAGAAAAGGTAAATCAGTTAGACCTGGAATAGCAGAATTTATTACAGCTATTGAAAAGACAAAGTATAAAACACAAATGAAAACTTTATGTTAGTACCAATTTTAAAGCTTGTCTTAAAACTGCTCCAGCTTTGTGCATGTCAGCAGTGAAAAGTATCCGCTCCTGTACCCTCCCTCACCTTTAAGCATACTTGGTCTTTTCTCCCTGCTGCTCAAGGTTTCAGTGTGTAATTAGTACGTAAGGGAAATGGGTAAACAAGCACTGGAATGTGGGGCAATGGCTGTAAGAGTTACAGATCACTTGTGTAACCATTTCCTCTCACACAGGAAGGCAGAGACTAGTACTTGCCACTCTTCTGATGTAGATCAAATCATGTGATACCTCATGTTGATACTGTAACCGTAAAGACAAAATATCAAGTCACAGTACAGAATACAGAGCTATTGCACACCTGTCCTTTCAGTGGGCATGAAAAGGAAGAAAATTTACTCATTCTGTACAACTTGCAGTTAGAGATTATTCTAAGTTGGTGGACATCTTTATCTTGCACATACCCATCTGGCTCATAGGCCTGCCTATGCAAGCTTCATTCTGCCACACTGCTGTTTACCTTTAAAACAATTCTGTTCTCAGGACCGTCTCCTAATTTAGCTTTACTAATGCTCTGCCCATAACCTACTTTATGACTTGTCTTGCATTTTCACCTTGGTCTTCTATAATTCAGATTAAGCTCTTACATTCAATTTCACTCAGCCTATAAAGTATCATTCTAATTTTTGTCATTAAAAAGGTTTCAACTGGCTTGTTATTAAAGTTTTGCAGAAAACAGCAGCTCAGAGCGAAGACTACTTGTTCATTTGAGAAATTTTCAAACCTTGGACCTTAGGACACCACCTTACCATGCCAGAAAATGCACACAATACTGTAGGCAGGTCAAAGAAAATGCACATCAACACCCGAAGACAAGGTGCAATGAAATGTTTAAAACATTATCTGACCTTTCAAAAGGACATACACCCTGTTAAAATCTACTGACCTATGAAGATTACTACATCACTTTAGGTCCAATGGCAATTCAGTCAGTAGTACCTGCCTCTTCTTGCCGCTGGGTGAGACTGGCCTTTTGGGCCTTCTCTGACTAGACACACAAAGCAGGCACGCTTGCTGCCAGGGGGCTAGGACAGAAGGGCTAAAGAGGGCAGAGAACGACCTAAGTTTTTATAAGTCCCAGAATAATCTGTGCTGTTTTGGCACAAACACAAACGTGGAGCGATTCTATTGCCTACAAGCGAGTGCGGTATGCAGTGCCTCGGCTGTGCACATGGCATTCCTCCATGACTTCCTGAAACCAGAGTGTTGTACACAGCTAAAAATACAGCGGCTTGTCAGAGTGGATGATGGACCATCCTACAGCCAGATACCTAAAATGCTAGCAACCGTCTGTGTTGCAGTCAACTTTCCATCTGGGGGGGGGGTTTCCCCTTAGATTGATTTAATTCTTAGAAATTAATGGTAATCCAACTTAAGAAACTTCAATTGCACAATTTGAAACCAAGGTTTTTCAATTGCTTTGTGTGCATGTGATGCTTATTTTAGGTTTTGTAATTTAGAAGGCCTACTTACTATGTTGAAATAAAAGATGTGGATTTAATCATCTTCCTAAACTGTATGGCTTAAGATGATTTTGATGAATTATAGACTGAGTTTAAAGTATTGGCTGTGCAGAAGCAGCTCTGTGTAAACACTGCTATAGGAAGAGGGAAAGCAAAACTTACAACTCCAGCATCCTTGTAAGCTTCTGCCTCTTGACACGCTTGGTCAATAATCTGTGTCAATGGAAGAGAACTTCTTGGTGTCCCTGCAAGAATAATACTGCTTACCTCTGGGCACGCACAACCCAAAACCACATGCAGTAAGAGCTTTCAGGTAGGATAACTATAGGGATTTGCAGAGTGACATAAGGAGAAACAGAGTAAACTTGCTAAAAGGTTGCTGTATCTCCTTGTGACATGCCTTAGTGGCATCTCCTTCCTCAGGTGAACTTGACAGATCTGTTGTAACCACTCAGTTCCTAAATCTAGTTTACGAACCTGAGGAGTATCTGCTGTAATCTCTTATTGCACCAGGTCTGCTCTTAGCTTGTTATTCCTGTACTTATTATCGCTTAACCTGCATTAGTGGTGCCCTACGCAGTACAACCTATGTAAGACTGACCTCTAGGTCTGCGGTATATCTGCGATAAACACCTGTCGGTTTATAGCTAAAGCCATCTTCAACAGCAGTCTGCAAGGCTGCTCGTATCCGAGTTTCACTCTAAGCGCTTCATGGAAAAAAGGAACGTGCATGGAGTTTGCTGGGGTTGAACGAATTTCCCTCCAAAGTCTTTTCTGATATTTGGGCTCCAAAAGCCAGGCGCTGAGGGTCTGAAATGGGGACTGCGAAGAGCCCTCTGACAACTTCCTTGGATGGTCGGATGGCACTGCACGGGGAAAGCTGGCTGCAGCGCCTGGAGACTGCTCCGGGGAAACGTGGGGCAGTGAGGGCCAGGCTCCAGCCTGCCGGGGGGAAGGTCAGCCTCTGTAATCAGCTCTGCTTACCCCGAGCCCCTGGGAAGGCAGCTCCCTACATGGCAGCGTCTCCTGCCTTTTTCACCTCTGGAAAGGGGGGATGCCCAGACGGGCGGCACTTCGAGGGGCCCGCG